CTATCTATCTATCTATCTATCTATCTATCTATCTATCTATCTCTATCTCTATCTTTATCTCTCTCTGCCTCTCTCTTTCTGTGGGGATCTGGCTGTGGAAGTCACGGTGGTCCTGGAGGTGATCATTTGAAACCTTATCTTGTCTGATGTCTCTTTGATGCCTTATCTTGTCTGATGTCTCTTTGATGCCTTATCTTGTCTGATGTCTCTTTACTTCTCCTCCTCAGCGGCACATCCACCCCTTGGACCATTCGGGTGTGGGGGCTGGGGCCCCACAGTTGTTGTGGTTGGGTGCCCTGAGCTGATCCCGACCCACGGCAACCCGGTGTACCACAGGAGGGACAGCCCAGTCCTGCACCACCCTCCCTGCCGCTCCTGTGCCTGAGCCCCCCGCTGCAGCCGCGGTGCCCCTCCCTCTCAGGGAGGGCTTTCCTTTACCGGGTACAAAACAGACGCGCCCTTGGCATGCAAGACACACGCCTTGCAAAGCCCGCTGGGCACGGAGCAACTGCAGGAGGCGCTAGCAGAAAGCTGGGGGTCCCGGCAGGACGGCTTCCTGTGTTTCCTTGGCGAGGCCAGAGCCTTTGGTGGAGTGAATCGTAGATCCCATTGGGAACCATGGGGATCCCAGATCCCTTATTTGTGCTCGGAGGGAATCTGCACACAGACCAAGGGACAGTCATGCGAGGGCATTGAGGATATAAGAGGATAGCGCGTGGTTTAACGTAAGGGAAAGTGCGTCAGGGCTGTCTCCGATCACCATGGTCGTTGTATGTGTAAGCCCCGCAGGTAACGCAAACGCTGGGCTGCAGGGTGAGAAGGCGGCATCAGGACTGGAGGCGGGCTCGTGCTGATGAGGTGACTTTGCTTGTGGACAAGAAGGGGGGCTGGAGGCACTCACTGACGAAGGTCAGAGACTCATCTTCCGCAAGCATTCTCCCTCAACATCAAGGAAGCGGAAACTCTCAGAACTGGAGGTGTGGGCAGCATCGTGACGAATGAAGAAGGACGAGTCTGTCACCGGTCGCATCTTGCTCGGTTGCCCAATGTTCAGGGCAGCGGCAGTGGAGAGATCAGATGACATGTGCCACTGGAGACGCCTGCCTGCTGCCCAGGACCTCTTTAAAGTGTTGGAAAGCAAGGGGGACACTTGGAGGGCTAAGAGGCCCCTGACTCCAGCCTCAGATGCCGGTGACAGTTGTGAATGAGCAAGAGTGCAGATTGGGGACCCAAAACCCGCCACTATCATGATCCCAATTCTACCTTACAAATCCGGCTGGACCAGAGGATGTACACTGGTACAGAGAGGAACTGGAAACACAGGGAATCCAGGGCGGATGATCCCTTCAGGACCAGTGCTCAAGGTGGAGGGAGGGTGGGGTAGAAAGGGGGAACCGATTACAAGGATCTACACATAACCTCCTCCCTGGGGGACAGACAACAGAAAAGTGAGTGAAGGGAGACGTTGGACAGTGCAAGATACGACAAAATACTAATTTATAAATTATCAAGGGTTCCTGAGGGAGGGAGGGGCGAAATGAGGGGGGGAAAAATGAGAAGCTGATGCCAGGGGTTTAGGTGGAGAACAAATGGTTTGAGAATGATGAGGGCAATGAATGTATAAATGTGCTTTACACAATCGATCGATGTATGGATTGTGTTAAGAGTTGTATGAGCCCCTAATAAAATGATTAAAAATAATAATAATAAATGGAAACCACTGGGTAATAAAGTAAATGTTTAAAAAAGACGAAGAAAAGGGTGGCAAGACTTTGTCTCCCGTATTCGGGGCGTGTAGTCAGGAGAGACCAGCCTCCAGAGGAGCGCATTATGCCCGAGAACGCGGGGTGGGGGAGGAAGACCCCTGGTGAGATGGATGGACACTGGGCTGCGACCACAGGTTGAGACAGCAGTCCCTGTGGGGGTGGGCCAGACTAGGAAGTGTTTTGCTCGGTCAGACACAGGATCGCTGTGAATTAGGACGCCCTCAATGGGGCCTAAAAATGACATTCTCCCATGATCTGACCTGACGTTGCGGGATCAACTCCACATTGGGATCTGCCGGGAGCAGCCGATCTGCTGTAAGATCAGGGTGCGATGGGGCACCCTTCCTCAGGTCACAGCCTGGAAGGTCATTCTCTTGGACACCGTGGGGAAGTTTTCTTTGCCTTTTCTGGGTCTGGATCCACCTCTCTCTGGTTCTTTGCGCTTGACTCCCGTGGCCTGCCACGCTGCCTGCCAAGCCTGGGAGTTGTCAGTGGCCTGCCCTCTGACCCCCTGATTGTGGATTCAGTCGCCTCTGCAGCCACCAGCCTGTAGCCTTCCTGCTGGCCCTGTTTCATCAACCCCCACACAGCCACTGGAGCCAGAGAGGCCTCTGGCCTGACATGGGACCCACAGACTTAGAAACTTATCTCCTTGGACTTGTGCACCCTTGCAACTGTGTGAACCATTCCCTCGATATAAATCGCTCTCCGTGCAAGTGTCCCTGGGACGTGTGGTCGATTACATGGTTAATTCCTCACGTGATGTCCTGCAGCTCTGGCCTCTGAGACTGTGGCTACGGGCCCATTTTGAAGGGGGTTCTGAGCTGTGCTAATAGACAGGATTCAGGTGGAGTTAAGTCCTGACTTTAGAGGCGCGTATGAACCAAGGCCTACCCTTTGCTTCCTGGAGGGTGTCTTTAGACTCTACTAGGGTGCGTGACAGCCTCGTTCACTTCCCTTGGGGGCATGGTTGGCTAAAAGGCAAAGCCACACTTCCATCAAAGCCATGCCGTGGTGTATGAGGGCCACCTTGGACACAGAGCTCTGACACCGTTCCCTCCTCTGGATCTGGATTTGATTGCATGTGATCCTTGGATCACACAGGCTGGTGTGCTTCTTCTGCGTGACTTAGATGATGCCTCACTTGGATGGCCCCGCCGCGGATCTGAGGAGCGTGTAAGAACTCATTATTATAGTGCGATATGCACCGCGCTGTCCTGTTTCCTTTGTTTATTCTTTTCCGTTGTCTCTGATGCGGTTTCTTCTTTTATAATGTCAGAGTCAGCATGCACTGTCATGGGACCTTCTCAGACTCATCAACTTCCTGTGGGGAGTGGGGGAGTTAACTTCCTGGGCTGTTTTATTATGTTCTAAGGACTTTTATTAGGGTGCACCTGGCATAGTACAAACTTCAGGAGCCTAAGGGGTGCCATTTGGTGGTTTTGTGCGTGGCTGGGTCCTTACGTTTCCACTGGCTTAGGCTTGCAAGTAGAGCACCAGGTCTTTCTTGCTCTTCTGTCTTATTCTGGAATCTCTGCTGAAACCCGTCCGTCAGTGGTGGCCCTGCTGGTAGTTGAAATACTGGTGTCATGGCTCCCAGCAGTACAGCAACATGCAAGCCATCACAGTACCAAACAGAGACGCATGGTAAGGAGTCAGTCATAATCTGTTGTTGCTGCCCTCTGTAGGTACAGTGAATCCTCGCCACTTCGTGCTTTGACATCCGCGGCTTCACTCTATCGCAGTTTTTGCGTAACAGCACCCACTGCCTACACCCGCTCCTTCAGAGGAAAAAGACGGCGACCCACCTGTAGAGTACATCCCTTAAGTCATTTCATAGGCTATTGATTACAGTATTTGTAAGAACTATGTATAATAATACTGTATGTGAAATATGTAATACTGTAAACTAGATGCCATAAATAATATAATAAATAATAAATGATAATTGTAACGTCCAAAATGTTTTACTGTATTTTCCCTTTTTCGTTTAACAAATTGGGTAATACGAGTGTAATGGTGACTAAAGGGTGTTTTTTCATGTCCTCTATGCTCTAACTACGAAAATATTTGATTTACAAATAAGGAATCCTACTTCGCGGAATTTCATTTATCACGGTAGGGTCTAGAACTGATTAACCGCGATAAACGAGGGTTCAATGTATAGCCCTATCTTCTTGGCGATGGTCAAGGATTTGTCTGTATCTCTGATCACTAGAATGAGGCACTGCATTCACTGCGGGGCACACAGAGGACTCCTGGAGCTGGCCTCAGGGAGGGCAAGGACCCCTGGTGGTGCTGTGGGATGGACATTGGGCTGCTATCTGCAATATTGGTGGTTTAAACCGACCAGCTGCTTCTCTAGAGAAAGA